TACGAGTATCCTCCGCGCCCCCCTCTAGTCCCAATAGAATCCCCTTATTATAACTACTTTCATATTAATCATTTAATTATAAATTGATTTATTACACAGCATATATTAGAATAGTCATTGAAGGAAATCTCGATCGGACTGTCGTATATTTTTTATAAAATCATTGACTGAGCTGGATTCTCGATTACAACCGAGGATTAAACATAAACGATAAAACACACTTTTATAACTTGGACTTCAAATTTCTGACTACCTATTTCGATTTGTAACATCTAAATGAAGAAATAAGTATGTAAGATTAGCCTAGGGCGATAATTTTTATTATTGTATCTAATTAGTAATAAGGCTCATAAATTTTAGAAAACAAAGAAAAAAAGAGAGCTATGAGTCAAAATTTATATAAAATAAAGCATGATAATATAGAATGTAAAAAAACAATAAAAGAAATAGAAATGTTTTAAGTTAAAAATAATATAGAAAATTTTTACATACGAATTTTGGACAGGACTCTACAAGATCGTATAAGAATATATATCAAATATGATATCTATAAAGTAAATCAAGAATCTTGCATAAATTTTACACCCATGTTATATGAATCTTCTAAGTATGTTACTTGACTCTTACACGCATGTTACATGAATCTTGCGTACTAATTACGTGAATTTTGCATGCATGTAATGTGAATCTTGCAAAAATATAACTGGAGTGTCATAATGAAAATATTATAAGAATACTATTGGAATTTTATGTTGTTTGCATCCCAGTAAATAAAATGGGACAAGCATGAATCTTTGAATGAGATTTAAAAGAATTTATTTTGGCTAAAAATTAATTCTTACAAAAATTGAATAACGACTTTTCGATTAAATCAAACATACAAGTTTTTGTTAGAGGAAAGGAACCTAACTATCCCCTTCCGATTTTAATAAGCTTTTAGTATGTTATTCTCCAGACAAAAAATAAGTGATACGTATTTTTTATATGCGCATACGGATTTTAAATGGGTGGAACACCATTTAGAAAAAAATCGGTCTTTTGAAGCGAATATCGCCGAAACTGTAAGAGATAAAAAAAATTTTCATAATAAAAATTAATTGGCATTGAGAATACTTATAACTTGAATAAAAAAAATTTTTTTTTTATAAATAATTTTTATTATAATTAAAAAACAAAAAGAATTTTTTAATTATAGTTCTAAAGTAGTACAGTTCTTGAAGCCATTCAATTTGGACTACAAACTCGAGGTTGAATAATTGCACCTACATTCATAATAATTACAGTTAAATTTTGAAATATTATATTATGCTGAATGTTATATCATGAAGATGGCTGCAGAAAGCAATCGAAATAAGGTTAAAAATAAAGAAGAATTGTAACATATATTAATAATAACTGTGTATTAGTTACCTATATTTTTGTAAAACTAGTGATAATAAATTTCGATCTTTTATTCAGTCAATTTCAGTATTCTAACAAATTTTTTAACATTTCTTAATTTTTTTTATTTTGTATATTCAATCCAGTTTCTATTCAATAATTCTATTTCATTCAATAATTCTATTTTATTTACTGGAATAATACTTTTATTGGGATATTACTTTGAAGCGATCAAAAGATTAATAAAGAAATTTCTTAAGAGTATGTTATTAAGCTAAGCAATTAAAATATTTTCATTGCGATATAAATCGTCATGTATGATTCATGCCAGATTCCTACAATAACTTGAAAGATAAATTTGTACACACACACACACACACACACACACACACACACACACACATATGCGCGCGCGCACGGACACGCCGCGCATGCACACGCACGCATATGCATACGCACACACACGCATATGCACGCGCATACACATACATACACATGATACCCAAGGCAATTTTCAATGCCTGATATTTTCTGAGATCCTCGTCGCAACGTATCTACAGTTTATGGAACATAAAAATAAAATCATAAAGTTTATTTTCTAACTCGAGACCCAAAATGTAGTCACCTTTTAAAAACAAAAAAGTTCTAATCTTAGAAATAAAAACATCTGGGTATGCCATGTCCCAAAGTGTTTTTAAGAGTTAATTTCCGTAATTCATGTTATTGTAATTCTATATTCATACCTTACAGCACTATATTTAGTTTATATTTTTGTTACATAATTTGTTCATAATTAAAGAAAAGGAACTCTTTGTAAGATAATATTAATGTGGGTTATATCCAAGCATATGCCTAAGTATGACATTTGTTACAAAATGTGTTTATGAAGATTGTGTAAATTAAATAAAAATGATAAAAGACCTTCTATTTTTCCGAAATGCGAGATCCATAAGCATAGTTTTATGAAAGGGAATTTAACGCAAATATTTAACGTTTAAGTTGCTAAATAACTTTTTTAAAATATTTATATATCAATATCCTGTGTAGAAAATTATTAGGGCTAGCTAAAAAATTGTAGGTTAAAATAAGGAAATCTTTCTTATAGCATTCCTAATAAATAATAATCAGGGCCTCATGTTACTTAAGGCTATCCCTAACAATTTTCTACATGGGATATTAATGTATAAACATTTAAAAAAAGTTATTTAACAATTTAAACGTTGAACATTTGTGTTAACTTCACTTTCTTAATGACCCGATTATAATTTGTTAGGGCTGTCATAAAAGTAAGGCTTCCTTATTTATATCTGATAAGGCTCTCATCGGGATTTGATAAGAATGCATCAACTTTATAAATACCAGATATTTATACCAGATACTTATAAGTACCAAATAAAACGTACAAAACGTTCCTTGACATAAAAAAAGAAATAAATGCTTAGCAGATTTCTCTTCAATTCCCATCATGTTGCTGTCAGGGTAACAATAATTTTATTTAAGTTAATTAGAGGCATTATGCGGACAACGGTTGTTTGCGTAAGCGAGCACAAATTCTATAACAAACTTATTCTCATAAATATTACTACAATTTGTTAGAAATCGTTTTTGTAAAATATTTAGTCCACATTTTTGTCAATCGAATGGAAATGGAGTTGAGCAATATATGGTACCGCCATCAGAAGGATGCATTGATTTAAATTTCTCGATTTTAAAAAACAACATAGAATAGAATAAAAGACGCAGCATTAGATGTTTCAGCTATGTTCTAATAAAATAATTTTTTGAAGTAAGCCCTAAGGACTCTAAGATAAAAGGTATAATACTTTTTTTGAAATGTTTACCGAATAAATAAAATCTCCTGATATTTTAATATGTATTTTGTTTTGTATTGTAATTTTATTTATAGTAACTTACATCTGTCTACCAAATGAGTAAAATGTCTAAAATCAACTCATAAATCACTTTAAAATCTTAATCTTTCAAAGTTCTTTATGAAATAATATTTTAAAGATGTTTCTTAAAGAACTTTTAAAGATATCTTAAAGTTCTCTTTTGAGTCGTGCGATTTTAAGCAAGAAAGCATTGTTAATCAGAGGTTAATCCTTTTTATTACAACAGTTTCTTTTATATTACTGTCAAATTGCTAGCAAATTTGTTTCATATGGGATTAGTTTCCATCATGTTGCCGTGTAATTGTCCTAACCTATAAAACTTATACAAAAGAAGAGAGAAATTATTTCCCTCCGGTTGTGCTGTTTATGATATGTATTGCCGCTAATATCAAAAGCAAAATCGGAAGCCGCTTTCCTAAAAAAAAGATGGCAATTCAGGTGACGCAATTTGTATCAAATTTATAACAATGCGGGAAACTTGCTATCTGTGTACTTATTTATTAAGGCTAACTTTATAAGGATCTGAAAAGGATTTACAAAAGATGATAAGTAAAGTTTTCTTATTTTTATCTGATAAGGATCTCATTAAGTTTTCATAGGGATGCATCAACTTTATAAATACTTATTTATTAGGTAACTTATATGGGCCTGGAATTTATTAGAGATGCCAAGCGGTAGAATATATGTGCTATATATAACAGATTTCCTAACTCATAAACAGTTGTTAACTTTAAGTTAAGTTAAATATCTCGCAGGGTATAGCAATCTTTTTTTCTGCCAAATTTTTTCTTTTTGTATAAAAACGTGTCTATGAACGTGTCGTATTATGTGTGAACATAATTTTGATTGTTGGTTAAGGGTATTAAATTGAATAATCTAATTTTGCATTATTTTCGTATAAGAGGAATTAATATATAGTATTCGACAACAAGTAATAGTAATTGATTGGATGTTCAATTAAATTGCACAAATTTCTATCAGGATATATTGACAGATATATCATAACTATACATTCAATGTTCGTGGATCATCGAAGTAACAGTTTCTACACGATTACAGAGGTCATATTCCCATAATATTTCCTCATAAGACCTTGATAATTTTTTCTTACAGAGCCCTAATAAATTTTCTTTACACAGCCTTGACAGTTTTTCCTTATAGGACTCTGATAATTTTTCCTTATAGAGTCCTGATAAAAAATTTGTTACATATAAAGTCCAAGTTATCTAAATAATAGGACTCGAGAGAGATTAATTTTAGGGCATACTAATCAAATCCTTTTTTAAGCCCCAACAATTTTCTACACGGGATTATGCAATAAAATTATAAAAATAACATCAGATCATTTTATCTCTTCCATATTTTTAATATTTTTAATAAAAAAGGGAAGACATTCTGTATACGCGGCTCACATTGAATACACATTTTGCTAAGGTGCCACAAATGCTACTTTTTTTTTAATCTCTACTGCATCTGTATAAATATATAAATATGATTCTCTGTTTTTTAATGTTGAGAAATGTTTTTTTTTTTAAATGTAACTATTAATTTTTAATTTTGACCTCAGCACAAAATTAAAAAAATTCTCAAAGCTTAAGAGGCTCATATTGAGCTCAATCACCTTATATATGCATAATTAACAAAGAGACAATTCGTCCTAATTTAAAAAAAGATGATATAAAAGGTAATGTTACTTACATAAGTTAATAATGGAAATATGCGTATGCACTTTTGTCTTAATATTTCAAACAGATAATTGTCTATGAAACAAAACTATGATGTGCAAACTTTTTCCTCATAACACGTCAGCAACTGCGGCATTAATGTGAATGGTGGACAAGAGATCGGTGAGCAAAGGCCTAGTAAAATCCTCACTCCGAGTCAAGATCGATATTAGATGCGATTATCGTAAGAGTGAGTTCGTATTAGTCAACGGAATTTTAAGTAAACGGCAAAAAATGTAAGATGTCACTAGCGAAATTTTGTTGTCTGCAAGCGCTTCACGCCTGATAAGCACATGACAGTTACTGTACTCACGTAACTCATGTTGCATTAATAAGACGAATACGACACGTATTAGATATTATCAGATGTTTTCTAAGACGTGTTAATACCAGTGTCAAGCTAAAGTTTCAACTTTCATTTGCGATGTACACTTTGTACAGTACGCTTTGTACAGAGTACCATCAGTTAAAGTTGCAAATATAACGGAGAAGTGCGAAATTTTTGTATATGAGTAATGATATGGTATGCAGGCGTGATTTTTTAATAGCGATCACGTATATGTGCTTATACATATAATGTGATCAATTAATCAAAATAGTTGGTTAGCGATATAGTTACCATTTTTGAGAAATACTTTAAGTTTATTTCAATAAGTTTTATAATCTGTAAACAGATTTAAGAGAGAGACAAAACTCTTAATAAATTTTAAATATTTTAGAAATAATATTTAAATATATATTTAAATATCATTTTTTAAGTACTAGCTATTGCTGGAATTCCTTTTTAATCATTCAAAAAGATTGCAGATTTTTTCTGTATCATTTCAGCAATTTTTCAACAAGGTTTCATGTGCAAGAATCGCGGACATATTGCTATTCGAGAGTTGTCAAGAAATGTTGCAGACACATTTCGCAACTTTTATGAAATGTTTCACTTTTCAATTGAAATATTTCTGAAAATTTTTGATGCTGTATGGGAATCAATCGACTCAAAAGCATTTAAAGACTCGTCGAATTTATGCTCCTTGCAGATCCTGTCGTTTTTATGCATTAAAATGTATCGTTAAAATTATAAGAATTTTCATCGGAATATAGAGATTTTATTTTTGAATCAACGTTACCTCATAAAAATAACTCGTTACTGTTACCTAAAAAGTAATTTGTTACTGTTACTGTCACTTAAAATGTAATGAGTTGTTACATTTTTCGTCACTTTTTTTTCTTAACACTTTTTTTCTTAATATTATAGTGCACTGAATGCACACTAGTTCTGCCAATAAAAAACTATTATGTGCAAATTTTTGCAGTAAATATAAAAAAAATATTAGAATTATATTTTTTAGTTATAGAGGAATAAAACTCAAAAACTGATGTATATATATATATATATATATCTGTATATATACATATTGTATATACATATATACATATATATGCTCTAAAACTTTTAATCGTAAATGGAAATAAAATAACGATAAAAGTAACTAGTGAAATTGTTATCATTATCCCAAAAATGTAACTGCGTTATCATGAACGTTATTTAGAAGAAATGTAACTTTGTTACTCAATCGTTACCGAAAAAAGTAACTTGTAACGACATAAATAACGCGTTACAACCCTTTGAACAATATGAAGTTGGATCTATATAAATAAATCAATTTCTAAATAAGACTATTTGCTCAGTCAAAGCGGATCTTAATGCTAATAAATCTTATGTGAATTTGTATACATTCTTATGTCGAAATGTTTTTCCGGATTTGCGCATTAATGAGAGAAGCAGAACCAGAATAGTGATATCATTTATTAAATTATATAAGCAATTTAACAATTTTTTTTATGCTAATAAGCATATCCTTTAATAAGTATATTAATAGTAACGAGAGAATAAAGGGCATATAAGAATGTCATCAGTATATCAAATATAAAGAAGTATTTTAAAACAAAATAAAAAAAAAGTATGTATAATATAATATTCTATAATTGATTAATAATATAATATGTTTTGGTCTCATGATTGAGTCTTCTTCAGATATACATACAGGAGATGTTACATTAAATGAGAGTAGTCGAATAGATAGACAAAATTATATATAGTGATAATGACCAGTGAGATGCTTTACTGAGAAACGGAAATCACTCGCAAACGGTTGGACAACCGGTTGTTTGAAAATTTTCGGTGTTCTGGTAATAAGTCAAGTTGAAAATAAATTAAGAGAATAATAAAAAATTCAAGTAAAATCGTCACTCTGGTCAAAACAACTCACTTAGCTATAGCCATAAAGTAAAACATTAAAGTTTCACATGTCGAAAAGATGCAATTTCTAAATTACTAAGCGTCGGTGTGTTAGTCTATAAATAATTAGTCACAATATAAAATTAAAGATGTATATAGATAACAAATATTGTATAAAAAGATATTAAAAATGAGACACTTAATAAACATATATGTTATCATCATGATAGATAAACACTGACTGACGAATAATAGAATAATCTTGATATTGTCAGATTTTGTTTATTAACGTATATAAGTTTTATGTAGACCCTCGATTTATACGTTTAGACTGTTTTTTTGTTTTTGAATATTCAACATTTCGGAGATTATTATAACGCTTATTATAACAAGGTTCTTCGTCTAAAATTTTAATATTGTCCCAATCAAAGTTATGTCTGTATTGCAACCTATGTTCAGTTATCACTGATCAAGTGGACGTGTTCCACCGGATGTAATTTTTCATTAATTTTTGTCTTCAATTTTCTGTTAGTGTCATACATATGTTACATCACATTCAACACAATCGATCTTATAGACAACATTATTTTTTGAAAAATGATGTCGAGAGTCTTTGTGTACTTTAATGTATTTTCTTAATTTGTTCGTACTATAGAAAGAAACTTTGATGTCATCTCTATTAATTTTTTTAAATTTATTCGTCAATGATGGAATGAAAGAAACTGTGAACCAGGATGGGAACACTGATGATTCGTCCTTTTCCTCTGAGTTATTATAATATTGTCCTTCTTCTTAGAATGTATTTGATTCTGTTATTTATTGTTTCAAAAATGAATTTAAAAGAGTAATTATTAAGCAATAATATTTCGATTATCATTGTTAAATTTTTAGTATAATGTTCTGAATTTGAAAATAGAAAAGCTCTATCTACTAAATTAATGACTCCTTTTATTTGTGAGAGGGGATGATTTGAAAAAAAATTTAGAAATCTCCCCGAAAAGATCGATTTGTGATACCAATTTCGAAATTTAGTTGATTACCAATAGTCGTGATTGAAACATCTAAAAAGTTTAATGAGTCATGATCTGTTTCTAGCTTAAATTGAAGACGAGTATGAAAAAAATTAAAGCACTCCAAAAACTGATCTATTTTTGAAGAAGGAACAGCAGCAAAAAATCGTCAACATATAATATTAATAATCATATGTTGATGAAATCTAAAAACTACAAATAATTTATTGTAAAAGATATTACTTAGTGAAAAATGATCATTAATTGAATCAAATCGACGTCGAATTAACATGTTCATTTTTCACTTGGTTGAGAATCAAATTCGAATCTCTTGTTTGCCGAGCGAATGTCCTCACAGTTAGACTACAAATTGACAAATTGCTTATACAATGTATTATAACAAGTCATATCATTATATTGATTTCTGGTTCTGCTCATGAATGCATTTTAAGTCCGAAAAAACATTTCGATACGCGATATGCAGAATCAGAGTGTATATAAATTCACTCAATGGATATGCATTTAAGTACTAAATTCCGTTTCATCCGAAGATAGGTTTTTATTTAAAATTTGAATTATATCTTTGAATAAAGAATTTTTCGAATTATATTTTGTGGATAAAATTCGATAAATAATAATAAATATTAAAAAAAATAATACACTTTCACATTAAATATATTAAATATGTGAGTTAATTATATAACAATTAGGTATTAGTCATCAATATTTTTGTATCTCTCTTTTGTTCAATAAAATAATATTTAATTAATTAAATATTACTTTTTCATTTATAAAATTATTCTGCATCATTAATTTCTGTTTTAAATAGTATAATATTACAATATTTTAATAATTATAATAATTCAATTACAGTGTGATCTAGCAATATTATTCTGAATCTATTTTTGCATTTGTATTATCCTTATTGACAAACCGACTACTCAAATTTCTCATTAGAATAATAAAGAAAATAATATATTTGTTTAATTATATTCAAAATATAATCTTTTTAAAATAATGATGAATTTGGAACATATATTATATATATATAGGTATATATCTT